GGGTCTAGGTCTTACCATGAGACCTACGGTAATAGCTTATTCCCTATATGGGAAATTCGCTAAAAAATATGTATTTTTTCTATTAGTCGACTTTTATGCATTTCGTAATACGAAAACTCCTCCTAGACGGCTGAATCAATCGTTTTCAAATTTTGCATGGCGATAAAGACCATATCGGTGAGTGCCAACATCTATATGGCGTTAAAAAAGTCTCTCAGGAATCCGCCCCGCTGGGTCTCAAAGTTTCAATGTAATCCTTATGGAAGCAGTATTTGACACATAAACAAAGACATATGATCAGCTGTTGACTTTTGAATGCAGTAGATAAATAAATAGCTGATAGCATTATTCCACAGATATTAGAACATAAACGGTGGTATGGATAATAAATATAATCAGACGACACTAGCTTGAGGTCCGTGACGTAGGAAGTGGTGAAGGAAGTAGTTAATGTGAAGAGTCTGGAAACAACTGTGACGATTAGATTTAGGTAGGTATCTACATTCCTAAAATTCCATGGGAAGGGAGGAAAACGGGTCCGTGACGTAAGAAATGGTGAAGGAAGTAGTCAAGGCGAGCTGCCCGGAGTGTGGGAACTGTTTATGACGATTAGATTAAGGTATCTGCAATTTAAAAATGCTATGGAAAGGGAGGGAAACAGGTCCGTGACGTAGGAAGTGGTGAAGGAAGTAGTAAAGGCGAGCAGTTCGGAGTGTGGGAACTATTTATGACGATTAGATAAGGTATCTGCAATTCTAAAATGCTATAAAAAGGGAGGGAAACAGGTCCGTGACGTAGGAAGTGGTGAAGGAAGTAGTAAAGGCGAGCAGTCCGGAGTGTGGGAACTGTTTATGACGATTAGATTAAGGTATCTGCAATTCTAAAATGCTATGGAAAGGGAGGGAAACAGGCCCGTGACGTAGGAAGTGGTGAAGGAAGTAGTAAAGGCGAGTTGTTCGGAGTGTGGGATCTGTTTATGACCAATAGATTAAGGTATTTGCAATTCAATAATGCTAAGGGAAGGGAGGGAAACAGGTTCGTGACATAGGAAGTGGTGAAGGAAGTAGTAAAGGCGAGCAGTCCGAAGTGTGTGAACTGTTTATGACGATTAGATAAGGTATCTGCAATTCTAAAATTCTATGGGAAGGGAGGAAAACGGGTCCGCGACGTAGGAAGTGGTGAAGGAAGAAGTCAAGGTGAGCTGTCCAGAGTGTGGAAACTGTTCATGACGATTAGATTTAGGTATCTGCATTCCTAAAATTCTATGGGAAGGGAGGAAAACAGGTCCGCGATGTACGAAGTGGTGAAGGAAGTAGTCAAGGTGAGCTCTCCAGAGAGTGGGAACTGTTTATGACGATTAGATTTAGGTATCTGCATTCCTAAAATGCTATGGGAAGTGAGGAAAACGGGTCCGCGACGTAGGAAGTGGTGAAGGAAGTGGTAAGGGCAAGCTGTCCGGAGTGTGGGAACTGTTTATGTCTATTGGATTAAGGTATCTACAATCCTAAAATGCTATGGGACGGGAGGAAAACAGGTCCGCGATGTACTAAGTGGTGAAGGAAGTAGTCAAGGCGAGCTGTCCGAAGTGTGGGAACTGTTTATGACGATTAGATTAAGGTATCTGCAATCCTAAAATGCTATGGGAAGGGAGGAAAACAGGTCAGCGACGTAGGAAGTGGTGAAAAATAGTCAAGGCGAGCTGTCCGGAGTGTGGAAACGGTTTATGACTATTAGATTAAGGTATCTGCAATCCTAAAATTCAATGGGAAGTGAGGGAAACGGGTCCGCGACGTAGGAAGTGGTGAAGGAAGTAGTCAAGGTGAGCTCTCCGGAGTGTGGGAATTGTTGATGACAATTAGATTAAGGTATCTTCAATCCTAAAATGCTATTGGAAGGGAAGGAAACAGGTCCGCGACGTAGGAAATGGTGAAGGAAGTAATAAAGGCGAGCTGTTCGGGGTATGGTATCTGTTTATGACCATTAGATTAAGGTATTTGCAATCCTAAAATGGTATGGGAAGGGAGGAAAACAGGTCCACGACGTAGGAAGTGGTGAAGGAAATCGTCAAAGCGAGCTGTCCGGAGTGTGGAAACTGTTTATGACTATTAGATTAAGGTATCTATCTACAATCCTAAAATGCTATGGGACGGGAGGAAAACAGGTCCGCGATGTACGAATTGGTGGAGGAAGTAGTCAAGGCGAGCTGTCCGGATTGTGGGATCTGTTTATGACCAGTAGATAAAGGTATTTGCATTCCAATAATGCTATGGGAAGGGAGGCAAACATGTCCGTGACGTAGGAAGTGATGAAGGAAGCAGTAAAGGCGAGTTTTTCGGAGTGTGGGAACTGTTTGTGACGATTAGATTAAGGTAGGCTATTATAGTATCTACAATCTTAAAATTCTATGGGAAGAGAGGGACAGGTCTGCGACGTAAGAAGAGGTGAAGGAAGTAGTAAGGTGAGCAGTGTGGAGTTTGGGAACTGGAAACCGTGTGTAGCAGTTAGATTAATGTATCTGCAATGCTGAAATGCTATGAGAAGGGATGGAAGCATGTCCACGACATATAAAATGGTGAAAGAAGTAGTAAAGGCTAGCAGTGTGGAGTCTGGGCATTGTTTGTGGCAATTAGATGAACGTATCTTAAATACTAAAATGCTATGGAAAGTGATGAAAACAGGTCCACGATGTAGGAAGTGGCTTAGGAAGTAGTAAAGTATGAACATATTGTGAGAATCGTCTGTGGCAGTTAGATTATTGTATCTTCAATCCTAAAATGCTATGAGGAGGGAAGGAAACAGGTCCCACGACCTAGGAAGTGGTGAAGGATGTAGTAAAGGCTGGCAGTGCAGAGTGAGGGAACCGTTTGGGCAGTTAGATAAATGTACCTAATACTTAAATGCTATGAGAAGGGAAGGAAACAGGTCTATGACGTAGGAAATGGTGAAGGAAGTAGTAAGGCTTGCAGTGCAGAGTGTGGGAACTGTCTTTGGCAATTAAATTAATGTATCTGCAATCCTAAAATGCTATGGGAAGAGAGAGAATGAGGTCCACGACGTAGGGGGTAGCGAAGGAAGTAGTAAAGGCGGGTAGTGTTGAGTGTGGGAATGGATTAATGTGTCTGCAATGCTAATAATGCTATGGGAAGAGACTGTGGACTGTAGGTTAAAATGATTATGAAGCACGAATCGTTACATATTTCGATACGTATTCAATCGTTTACAATATAAATTTACAACTGAGTTGACAACAGCTGAGTTTTACTCCATAGAGGTTAAAAACGAATTTTATCCCCTAAAGAGTGAAAATGCTACTTTAGACCCGCAACTAACACACGCACCAATGACGACTGTTTTTACTGCAGTAGGCCTGAGGCAGGGGTTGCCACCCGTCCCGATTCTGCCGGGACAGTCCCGATTTCAGTTCCTTCTGCCCGTATTTAAGCCTATGATAATCCGGGGGGAGGGAGGCCATGTCCCGATTTTTCCCTAACCAAAGGTGGCAACCCTGCATGACAAAAACAATATAATATGAACCCTTGATGACTCCGCTCAATTTTGTGGATGCATCTGCGAACGCCACCTAGTATTGCGTTCGGGGAAGCGTAGGCCTACTCTTTCAAGTGGTACATTTCGTTTTCCAATATTCCCAACGACATCCCTGCAGCGATCGATCATCGTTCATCAAGTCAGCTGTTGAAAATCATAATTTTTTTGTTGCCGACTCGGAAAAAAGTTGTAGTGGGAGTCAGGTGTTTTTGTTTTGTTTTGTTTTGGTTTTTACTGTTTGTTTACAAACAACCTGTTGCTGTTGGCTGTTGCTTGCTTGTTTCAGTGTTTCACACTCCGCTCCTCAACCGCTGAAAGTGTAAGTAAACATTAAACAATACCGAATCGTGAAAGTATTTATCCTAGGGATGAAGAAATATGTAAATATTTGGGCGACGACAGCTTAAGTGATATATTTGATATTTCCGGATAAGATTTTGGCAACGAAGTGGATTTGTGTAGTGATGTCGGCCCACCAATGCAGTCGGGTTTCGGGTTTTTTGATCCACCACCATCAAACGCTCCAGGAGTTAAGGTGTCCGACCTATTTTGTTAAGTTAATAGCTTAACTTATTCCTAGTGTCACCCCTGAAAGTTTACCAGATTTAGATATTGGTTTTTGAAATGAATCCATTCCCAGTACTAGGCCTACTACGAGCACTGCTAATTAGGCCTAGCTATAGCCCTAGACGTTTTTGTGTGGTCCCATAGGCTTAGGCCTGGCCTACCCAATCTGAGGAGCTGGCCATAGGTGACAGGCCACAATTTTTGTACAAAGGAAAGTTGGCATTCCGGCAATACTTAACCTATATTCCCAATAAAAGAAAGGTTCGGGACACAAGTATTTTTGTCTGACTGTGATAAAAAAAAAATCTACAATCTATATATTTTATTTTGTATTTTGTACTTACAGGTACTAACTTAAATTATTAGGCCTATGGTAACCATCCTGGCATAGGTAGGTAAGTATAGGAGATTACAGGGCAAGTAGTGCTTACATACTCTTTTGGAACCTTTTTTGTCCTTGGTTATGTTCAAGTTTGGGTACACTTCCATATCTGTTGGCACAAACAACCGAACGAGTAATATTGATTATTCGATTGTTTAATTCGATATATCGTTTGGTTAGTTAGGTTAGGTTAACCTTACCTAACTAACCAATTGATATATCGAACAATCGATCGATGTTTTCATTCGGTTGTTTGTGCCAACAGATATGGAAGTGTACCCTCAAGTTTAATGAGATAATTGGTATGGGAGCCCTAACTTAGCGAAAGGGGCTAGGCTATCTTTGAGCTAGTAAAACTGTTGTCAATCTGACAGGATTTTAACAGAATAGGCTAATATCCCTAGTACAGTCCCAGACTCTTTGCTCTATTGCAGCCTCGGTCTACCAGGTGACTTGGGGCTTCATCCTCAGATCAAGTTTTGTAAAATTTATCTATTTCTTCCAGGTACCCAACTGCCACGTTTCACAGAACACCCTGTAGACCTCACGGCCGTGAAGATAGCTGTCACCAGCTGTCGCCTAGCAGTTGCGGCGGCTCCCCCACTCCTTCACCCTGGCCCCAAGATAGATAGTCTGTTATTTATGAGAATAGACCACGAACCTCACCTTGCTACTGATTGATTGCACCTACTGTTATTACACATTGTACAAGTATACAGGATTGTTCTTATAAAAAAATATGTAAATTTAAAAAGTGAAGGATCTTTAGGAAAAAATGCTGTTAAAAGAACACAAATACAGTGGTTTATTATTTCATTACACTATGACCAACATTCATAATTTTCTTACCTTGGCCCTGTTTGATTGAACAAAATTGGATTACTGATTGTACTAGTGTAAATGACTGCTTTTAATAATAAAACATAATAATTGGAATAAAGACTGCTTTTAATAATAAAACATAATAATTGGAATAAAAGTATAAGATGTTGGCAAAAATGGTGTCGAAAACTACCAAATGGTCAAATAATATTTCACATTCAAGATTTTTTGTTACCATGACTCCGATTGATTGCACCAAATGTTATTACTGATTGTACTTGTACAGATGATTGCTTTTAATAATAAAATATAATTATTGGAATAAAAGTGTAGGATGTTTGCGTAAAATGGTACCAAAACCACAAAAATGGTCAAATAATGTGCCACATTTACAAATTATTTTTACCATGACCTTGATTGATTGCACCAAATTTTATTACTGATTGTACAAGTATAGATGATTGCTTTTAATAATAAAATATAATAATTGAAATAAAAGTGTAGGATGTTGGCGTAAAATGGCAACAAAGTCACGAAAATGGTCAAATAATGTTATACATTTAAGATTTTTTCTTACCATGACCCAGATTGATTGCACCAAATTTTATTACTGATTATACTATTATATATGGTTGCTTTTAATAATAAAATATAATAATTGGAATAAAAGTGTAGGATGTTGGCGTAAAATGGCACCAAAACCACGAAAATGGTCAAATAATGTGACACATTCACAAATTATTTTTACCATGACCCCGAATGATTGCACCAAATTTTATTACTGATTGTACAAGTATATATGGTTGCTTTTAATAATAAAATATAATAATTGGAATAAAAGTGTAGGATGTTGGCGTAAAATGGCACCAAAACCACGAAAATGGTCAAATAATGTGACACATTCACAAATTATTTTTACCATTACCCCGAATGATTGCACCAAATTTTATTACTGATTGTACAAGTATATATGGTTGCTTTTAATAATAAAATATAATAATTGAAATAAAATTGTAGGATGTTGGCGTAAAATGGCACCAAAACCACGTAAATGGTTAAATAATGTTATACATTTAAGATTTTTTCTTACCATGACCCAGATTGATTGCACCAAATTTTATTACTGATTATACTAGTATAGATGATTGCTTTTAATAATAAAATATAATAATTGAAATAAAAGTGTAGGATGTTGGCGTAAAATGGCACCAAAGTCACGAAAATGGTCAAATAATGTTATACATTTAAGATTTTTTCTTACCATGACCCAGATTGATTGCACCAAATTTTATTACTGATTATACTAGTATAGATGGTTGTTTTTAATAATAAAATATAATAATTGCAATAAAAGTGTAGGATGTTGGCGTAAAATGGCACCAAAGTCACGAAAACGGTCAAATAATGCTACAAATTTACAAACTATTTTTACCACGACCTTGATTGATTGCACCAAATTTTATTACTGATTGTACAAGTATACATGGTTGCTTTTAATAATAAAATATTATAATTGAAATAAAAGTGTAGGATGTTGGCGTAAAATGGCAACAAAGTCACGAAAATGGTTAAATTATGTTGTTCATTTAAGATTTTTTCTTACAATGACCCCGAATGATTGCACCAAATTTTATTACTGATTGTACAAGTATATATGGTTGCTTTTAATAATAAAATATAATAATTGAAATAAAATTGTAGGATGTTGGCGTAAAATGGCACCAAAACCACGTAAATGGTTAAATAATGTTATACATTTAAGATTTTTTCTTACCATGACCCAGATTGATTGCACCAAATTTTATTACTGATTATACTAGTATAGATGATTGCTTTTAATAATAAAATATAATAATTGAAATAAAAGTGTAGGATGTTGGCGTAAAATGGCACCAAAGTCACGAAAATGGTCAAATAATGTTATACATTTAAGATTTTTTCTTACCATGACCCAGATTGATTGCACCAAATTTTATTACTGATTATACTAGTATAGATGGTTGTTTTTAATAATAAAATATAATAATTGCAATAAAAGTGTAGGATGTTGGCGTAAAATGGCACCAAAGTCACGAAAACGGTCAAATAATGCTACAAATTTACAAACTATTTTTACCACGACCTTGATTGATTGCACCAAATTTTATTACTGATTGTACAAGTATACATGGTTGCTTTTAATAATAAAATATTATAATTGAAATAAAAGTGTAGGATGTTGGCGTAAAATGGCAACAAAGTCACGAAAATGGTTAAATTATGTTGTTCATTTAAGATTTTTTCTTACAATGACCCCGAATGATTGCACCAAATTTTATTACTGATTGTACAAGTATATATGGTTGCTTTTAATAATAAAATATAATAATTGAAATAAAATTGTAGGATGTTGGCGTAAAATGGCACCAAAACCACGTAAATGGTTAAATAATGTTATACATTTAAGATTTTTTCTTACCATGACCCAGATTGATTGCACCAAATTTTATTACTGATTATACTAGTATAGATGATTGCTTTTAATAATAAAATATAATAATTGAAATAAAAGTGTAGGATGTTGGCGTAAAATGGCACCAAAGTCACGAAAATGGTCAAATAATGTTATACATTTAAGATTTTTTCTTACCATGACCCAGATTGATTGCACCAAATTTTATTACTGATTATACTAGTATAGATGATTGCTTTTAATAATAAAATATAATAATTGAAATAAAAGTGTAGGATGTTGGCGTAAAATGGCAACAAAGTCACGAAAATGGTTAAATTATGTTGTTCATTAAAGATTTTTTCTTACAATGACCCCGAATGATTGCACCAAATTTTATTACTGATTGTACAAGTATATATGGTTGCTTTTAATAATAAAATATAATAATTGGAATAAAAGTGTAGGATGTTGGCGTAAAATGGCACCAAAACCACGAAAATGGTCAAATAATGTGACACATTCACAAATTAGAAGATTGCATTACTACTTCAATATCCCAAATTCAATAGTAAAGTGTGTTAAAAGACGTTCATTTGGATCCAATAATTCACTTGACATGTAGTAATTTGGAATTGCCTATGCCTGTAAATATTTAAATTCTTGCTGTGTAAATCTTGTTAATTTTTCTTGTGTGTTAACCAACCAGCCTACTCCTTTTCAAAGTAACAGTCTAAACCCTGATTTTTTACACAAACTGAATGTCTGAGGTTAAACAATTTTAAAATCCGCCCAATTCTTAGTATTTCAATCCTATCCGGAAAGGCAATTTTATAATTCATCCCTAGACCAAAATATTTAAAAAAGCATTTTTACCATTTTCATGGTTAAAATAAATAACATACAGTAGACTCCCTCTCATCCGGACACCTTTTAACCGGACATCGGTTTAACCAGACTACACTCGACGGAAATGACATCTCGGACAATTTATATCAGCACATTGGTTTAACCGGACTAGATCGGCAGGAAGTGGGTGGTACTGTAACGACTGTTCTCGTGGGAAAGATTTGAGACCAGTGATCACATGTCTAAATTCAATGCTCTCCTAAATTTAAGTTGAGTATGACCGTAAACGGTCCATTTTAATGAGTTTTTGGGGACGTCGTCTTAACTGGGAAAACCGTTATCCGGACTGGCCTTGGTCCCGAGGAGTCCGTATAAGAGGGAGTCTACTGTATTAATCAAAACAATACACATGCAGATTTTAGAAAAATTATCATGTTTTTATGTTTTCAAAGAAACTATAGCCTACAGTTAACTATGATTTCCTCAATTTATTGTATAGGTTAGTGAACCTTATAACAGTCAGCATTTTACATGATAACTTGGATTGTTTTGTAATATTTTTAGAAGGGTTAAATAATTAAGGAGCATAGGCCATACCAAACATATTGATGAGAAAACCGACAAATTCCTAGACACTTTGTATGTGTGGCCTACATATAAAACTGTGTTGAAATTTGAAATCTTACATGAACAAAAATTATGTTTAGCTTCTCAATATTACCTACTATACTATAATATTAAATGTTTTTTTTTTCAGCTCCCCCGCTGATTAGCGTCCGCCCTGTAGAACTGACTGTAGAGGAAGGACAGGATGCAGTGTTTTCCTGTGGGGTTGTAGGAAGACCATCCCCTACAATATTCTGGTTGGTGGAGGTTAACCACACTCTGATATTGCCGGGTAGTGAGAACGGGAGATTTGTGTCTTCAGAGGAGGAGGGCTACGTTACCTTGACTGTAAAAGTAAGTTTTACAATTTCAGAATTTTAAACTGTCTAAAAAATTTAACATTTAGAGTCTTTTAAACGAATTCCCGATAAAATTGCATACCAAATTTATGATTTCATGATAAATTTTCACTTATCAATTTTTTTATTTTTTTTTTAGAAAAAAGTTATAATAAACCACTTGCGGATGGTTAGAAAGTAGTATGTACTCATGAAGCACATACTACGTAGTAAGCGTTGCTTACTTACGTTGCTTTGGTGATTGCTGTTTCTGTGATGTTTATAAACCATTCTGCCAAAAACAGAGTTATTTCTATTAAATATGCATATACTTTTACAACATTTAAATAATAGTAAGCATTTTTTCCCTCGATTAACCAGTAGGATTGCCTCATCTTATTATTTTTGTACCTTTGCAATAGACATTAAACCTTTTTAATCTACTCTCTGAAGAGGTTATATTTACAAATGAAATAATAGACCTTTTACAGAGTATTTTTAGCCCATCAACTAAAATTTTTACTTAGATAAGCAGGCTGAACTCTATTTGCTTATAAACGATTCTATGATTTTTGCAAGAATGTCTTTTACCTTGCTTTAGGCTGAAGCTAGCATCACTTTAATAGCCTACCAATAAACTTTAATTTTCATTCCTTCCTCATGAAAAATAATTCAAATAGAATTGTGGTCTTCTAATGACACATGTGTCAAAATCTAGGACTCACTATCACTCACCGACGTTTTCGGCCTCGATGTGGAGCGCCATCCTTACGGAAACTTTACTCCGCACAGATTACTTGATTTGTCGGTTTTGACATATTGGTCACCAGAAGACCACGTTTCTACAACAACATGGAAGCCTATCCAGGAAGAATAATTAAAATAGTTTAATCTAACTCTAAATAAAAAACGAGATCTAATTTTTAATTGTTCTACCTTCAGCAGGTGAAGAGAGAAGACGATGGACTTGTAGTGATGTGTGGCGCCGTCAATTCCGTCGGATCAGACTCATGGTTTTCTCGTCTAACTGTGTCCACCCCCGCAGATCATCCCCCGCCTATCATCCAGCTGGGCCCCGCCAACCAGACACTGCCCCTGCATACCCCCGCCACACTGTTGTGTAAAGCTTCTGGCCAGCCATCCCCCGTAGTGTCCTGGTACAAGGATGGTGTACCGGTCAAAACTGATCCTCCGATGATAAGCATCTCGGACGACGGCACACTTACGATCAAAGGTCAGTTGTAAAACTGATTGGCAGTTTACTATTTTTTAAATTTTTATACCTATTGTTCATAAACAGGTAGAAAGAACTTATATTATAGCTAAGTAGCTGAGAAGTTAATGCTCACCTTGTAGTAAAAAGTCGCTGGTTTGATCCCGTCGAAACAGTGCCTTACAGCCCTTGATAATTGGGCCACTCCAGCCTCCGCCTAGAGCCCCGCACTAAGTTCGATGTTATCTTGCAGATCTTGTAAAGAGTGACGAAGGTCTCTACACCTGTGTGGCGTCCTCACCTGCAGGCAAAGCAACATGGAGTGCAAGCCTCCGCCTAGAGCCCCGCACTAATCCAAATGCTGCATTCTTCCGTAGTCCAGAACCTGCTACTTTACCAGGTCCTCCCAGCACCCCTGTCCTGGTAGACTCTACTGACTCTAGCATCACGATATCTTGGACTAGAAACAACAAGATCGGCGCATCCTCACTTCTCGGATACCAAGTGAGTACCGGTGTTTACGTTTTTAGTTTTGCCTCGTAAACAAGTTTAAACCCCTATAAAAATATGCAATTTTTGCACGTTCCTCCTCCTGCTCCCATGAATTGATTCACCTCAGTAAATATTGTGAAACGTTTCAGGTAGAAATGTTCAGCAGGTCACTGACGGGGGGTTGGCTCGTAGTCGCAAGGAGAGTCGCTGGTCCTACCTACACCCAGAACTACCTCCAGTCCAACGCCTCGTACAAGTTTGTAGTGAGAGCGGAGAACTCCCACGGTCTGTCGTCTGCTTCCCCTCCTTCCGCTACCCTATCACTGATGACTTCTCATACCAGAGAGGACGCTGGTGTCCAAGAGGCTAGGGCGAGTCTGTCCACGGGACATGTGGTTAACTTGAAGTCTGTGCAGCCTGTGTCTTCAACATCTGTCAAAGTGACTTGGGAGGTTGGTTTACTAGAAGAAAGTCGTACAAATAATTTTAATCATTCAAACTAAAAGCGTCCAAAATAGTTATTCTTTGTTGTGTACCGGTACGGGTTGAATCAAAAGATTTCTATTAATCTACTTTGGATTTTGTTTCAAAAAGGAATAGAGATCAGCTAGCTTACTTGAGAAAATTAGAGTTCAGAGGAGACAGAGTACTTTGGTGATGTGAAATAAAAAGCATGAAAAATCAAGCTTGACAATAAGGATAAAATGGTAAAACATACTGACAATAGTAGAACAGTTTGATAAGCAATTTGTTAAATAGAGAGCTAAACGTTTGTTGAAGATATTGCCAGTTCCATTTTGAGAATAGATTCAAATATTTCAATGGAAAGGTGTCTTAGCAACTTAAATGGCTTTTATTGGTGGACGGCTAGATTGTCTAGTATAAAACTAATTTTTGTGAATCGTAACATGTCAATTGAATTCATATGATTGCAGAGAGAGAATAAGGTGATTTGTGTAGCTTTTTACTGAGAACAGTCGTTCCTTTCCTAGATCATTACCATTGGCCCATTGATTAGAGACAGCTGGGGTTTGAACTATCAAAATGCTTCAGACTTTTCAGGATCACATTGACAATCTTCTGATTAGTATGCCAGGGAAATTAGCCACTCCTTACAATTTCCTATACCTCCATTCTAAAAAACTTCTGATGAAACCTTATCACCAAAAATAAATGTTAAATCCATCCAACCTCGATGAAAGAAAAGTACTAATAAACCAATTAAAATCATACTTGTATTACTAATCATACCAAACCAATTGCAGATTCTGAGTGGAGATCACGTCGAAGGAGTGTTGATCTATTCTCAAGACAAAAACACAACTTCGTCAGTGTCGGTGCTTCACTCTAGAGATTCTTCGAGCTACTTGGTCACTGGATTGCAGCCATACACTCAGTACCAGTTCTTCCTCATACCATTCTATAAGACAGTGGCAGGCCGACCGTCCAACTCTGCGACCGCCGTGACTTTGGAAGACGGTTAGTGTGATTTCTTACTTGTAAATACCCTGAAGAAATTAAGGGGCAGTTGAGAAGGCTCTGCTCAGGGGTATAAGACTATGAGGGGGAATTTGGTAATTTTGTTTTTCTAAGTTGCTTTTGAAACTCAAAATTATTTGACGCTTTGCACTTTGAGAATCATATAGACATGCGTTCTTCTTTTTAACTGTTTTACTACTACCATTGACTTTTGGATGCTGAAATATACATCTATATGCTAAATTTGTATTAAAAAAGAATATAGTTTAGTGAGCTATTTACATAGTGCCCTAGTGTCTATCATTCTACTCAACCTACTACTACCTATTACTACCTACATGACATATGACATAAGCTAAGCTTAGGACTACAATAAGTCGTCCGATCAGTTTGACTTGGGTAAAAAAAAGTCTGTGTATTCGACAGAAGTCCGTAATTTACATTAGCACAAACTGTCTGTTGCTCAATTGAATTAACTTGATTTTTATTTTAAAACTGGAGACAACTTTAACGAGATGGAATGTCTAGTTGTATCAATAGTCAAAGATACTTACTGCCGTGGCTCCACAAATCTCAGTTGATTCTTCACCTCGTGTACCAGCCTCTTCCACCCTTCTCTGTCTTCTGCCAAGTTGACATTTGCACCCATTGCCCTGATGTCGTTCAATACTTGGTCAGTCCATCTCAATTTCGGCCTTCCCAATGGACGTTTACCTCCAGGTGTGGCTCTCCAAACTTCATACAGTCTTGTTCCTTTCTCTCTTCTCAGCACATGCCCTATCCAACTTAACCTTCTTCCTTTAACTATTGCAACAATATCTGGGTCGGTGTATAGTGATCTTAACTCTCTATTTTTCCTTATTCTCCACATTTGTCCCTCCTGTACTGGACCAAATATTTTTCTTAGTACTTTATTTTCAAACACCATGAGTCGGTTTTCATTTTTCTTGGACAATACCCATGTTTCACTTCCATATAACAGAAATAGTCAAAGATACTACACTATAAAGAAAATAATAATGGTTTTTAATTTTTTCTCTCTAGTTCCTTCAGAACCTCCTAGTCATCTACAGGCTGTGTTGGTCAGCAAGAGAAGTGTTCAGCTAAAGTGGAAACCTCCAACGTATGGTCAAAATGGGATCATTACATCTTATCAGGTAAATACCTCAAACTTTGAGTCACTGAAAAATGTGGCAACAAAAAAAGTATGAGAGCTATTTGTAACTTGTTATGGCATAGTGAACTAGTTCAAATGATCAAATTTGGCACTGCAGGGTGTACTTTAGTTTTTGCAAATTCGCTAACATTTTTGTCAGAACCACAAACAAAACTTATGTTTTGTTTGAAGTTAATTTTTGGTGATAATGGCTCTATGGTGTTTGATGGATCATTGGTGACATTCTCCATTGCAATTAGTAAAAAGGTTTTTACAAGACTGGTCTTGCTTGAGCTTTTAAAAACAAAAACGTGCCCATTTTATTTGTACCTACCTTTGTTCCAACCCATTTTATTGCTTCAAGTTTCATTTTGTCGATTGCACGTTTTGACTACAACGCAGTTGTCTGCGGGGTTATTCCATGTGACTTTCTAGATCCCGCAATGTCGTGAAAACTTTTTTTTTACTAATCGTGGTGGAAAATGTCTATGATATCAAACACAACATCGCAAATATTGTTAAAATGTTTAGGACCATCTTCAAGATCCCTCTATTTCTTACAGACATACACACTATCCCTACTTTACAGACATGCTCTTTCCAAACGTGTTTCTCCATTCAGGTTCGTCAACTGGGGATGAACCTCTGAAACCTAATAAAAGAACAGAATTCATACTTGGCGAGGTGGGTTTATTTCCCCTCACATTGCAATGGCTACTACAATGAAGTAAATCATCGCATAGGAATGACCAGCTAAAATACTAATGAAGGAAGTTATATATACATAAACTGGTTTCAGGATTGAACTAGCACTTACTTAAGGAAACTGAATCCAAATTTAAAGAAAATTAAACCTCTAGATTTAAGTGAAAATCTAATTAGAAAATTGGAAATTCCCTTAGTCAGCAGGTTTGCTGCGATGGTTATTTTCGTTACTTGTCGTAACTTGGCCGCGACTTTCGCTATTTGGAAACCTTATTTATACATAAGAATAGATCAAATTATAGTTTAGTGTACAAGTGAATATATTATCTTATTAAAACTTGGCTCAATGGAGGGAATGTTAACATTTATGTGTTTTGAACAAAATTAATCCTCTTCACAAGCATATATAAGGAGATATTTGGCCATTCCAACAACGCCCCCCATCTTTTTCTTTTTGCGTCTTCCTCAGCTGCTCCTAATCCTGAACTTAACTGTAACTTTAACGATTTTTAATTTCTATTACTTCCCCAACATTTGTTTGTTACCATCTTTTTGTCAACAGTATTTTGATCTTCCGGGTTTAGGCGTGCTTCTTTTAACAGCGCTCTACTGAACAAAACTTTAGAACAAAACTCAACCGAAATTTTACCAACTTGGTTCAATCCTCCGTGTTGCAAGGAAACTCTAAAGTGTATTTTAACAAATTAGATACGTAAACAATAAACTGATTCACAGGTGATGGTCAGAGTTGGGAACAGTGTGAACAACGTCACAGTTTCTGCAGCAAACCCTTCCCTCCTTCTGACCAATCTGACCGTGGGGATTGTCTACACAGTGCAGGCAGCAGCGGCTACTACAGTGGGGGTTGGACCCTACAGTAACCCTAGGTCTCTAAGGCTGGACCCAACAGCTGCAGTGTCAGGACACTTTGGGTATGCTACATGATTTGTTCCGTATTGCAATGTTTGGTGTCATACGTGATAGTTTGAATAGGGCTGCCTAGAATGGGGAGGATATTGAGGCACTATTTACGCCACTGGAATTGTTGGGGGGTATAACAAGAAGGTCACAGTTGTTTTTTTTTGTTTTTTTTATGGATTGTTTAACACTGGAGGTGGAAACTTGCGTTTACTTTTCTTGTTAAAAAATATATTTAATATTTTCCTGCTAGCATTTACACGAGTATGAGATCAATCTACATTCATCGTAACAGTTCAAGAGAATTAGTGAATCAATCAAAGCGTCTCTAATACTCTATTCAATTAATTTTTGAAATTTCTTACTAAATTAAATTCTTGATGTAACATAGACAAGGGCATAGGTTTTAAAGATTTTTGTGAGGATATCAGGCTTACCTGAATTGGAAAAAGTCCAAACTGGTACAGGATACACAAAACTTAACAAAACATTAGAATATTTCACTGTCACTGACAGCATTTTCAAATAAGGAAGTTTCTTTCATGATTTTCTCCTCAGTTTTCTTAGTTCTCTCTTCCATAGTTGAACATGCTTTCAGTGAGAAGTTGTTTTGTGTATATAGTGTAAAGTTTTGTGTTTCTTGTGCCAGTTTGGACTCTTTCCCATTCAGGTAAACCTGATATTCTCAAAAAATCCTTTAAACCAAATTTTTAATTTACCTATATTATAAATTCAGTCAGAATACCAAAAACACCATTACTAACCTTTTTTTTCATTAATTATTATTCCCTTTTTCTACTTTTTAACTTTTAACTACATTGACTTTTGAACGTAGGTATTAAAGGAATATTTCAATTTGCAGCCAGCCAATCAACATGCAGCCTAGCCTGGATATGACAGAACCAGATGTTTTGTCCGAGTCGTGGTTTACAGCACTTCTAGGCTCCATGGTTACAGTAATGTTCTTGTTCTTCTCTGCGATGTTCTATGTGTGGCGGAAACAGATGATAAACGACAAAGGATATCAACAAGGTGAGAAACTAACTTAAACTCCTAAACAAACTCATTTCAAATTTTCAAAATCACCGTTAACAAATTAAAAATTGTGATTATGTGTTTTTAACTAGTGATTTGTCAAAACCGAATCTCAAATCTCAAAACCATCAAAACTTAGGAAAAGTTTCGGTTTCGAGATTCGATCGCCAAGTTTTGAGATTCAAAAGTTTTGAAATTGAAGATTTTGGCAGTTTTATTTTTGAAACTGCTGACACTTTTTTGTGCCATTGTTATTGTTTTTAAGACTGTTTCCAAACAAGCTGGTAGCAACAGAGCAAACATCACCATTAACAGTAATGAAACAAGTAAATTTTATTCTGAACTTCAAAAGGTATCTTAAATACCATAATAACATAATGACGCATTAATGTACGATGTATCTGTACGTTCTAAATAAAGATTTTATTGATTGATTGATTGAATACTATAACTGGTACAAATCAGTTTCACATCAATATTTACTTAACACAAAGAAATATTGACCACTAAATGTTCTAATTAATCTAATATTCATGTTTATGTTGGTGTTAGAAGTTTAATTTATTTTTTTTGTTGGTTGTTTATAAAAAATTGTTGAACAGTATTGGGTTTTAAGATTATCAGTCACATTCACATACTGTATTTATGTTATGTCACGGTCAGGAGGAGTCGATCTCTTTCAGTTTTGATTGCATACTTAACATTTTATAATTATGTATATTTTTTGTAACCTTGACCTTTGTAACCAGCTAAGTAAAAAAGTTTCGCGTTTAGGTTTTGAGATTTGAGATTCGGGATTCAATTTTTTAAAGTTTCGGTTTCAGTTTTGAGATTCAAAATTTCTGGTTTTGACCATCACTATTTTTAACATTGCTCGAGGGTTTTTAACTGATTCAAGATTCTATTCAATTTGGTAGAAGTATTATATCTTTTAGGATGTTTTACTTCTTATTTTCATGATACATTTTATACCCTAATCGTTTTCCAGTTTTCACTTGGACTGCGGTGTTGTTTTTATAGAGCTTCTTGACTGTGGAAACATTTACTGAACACAACTAAAGATATTTTTAAAAGTCTAAAATGGCAGATACCTGGGTTGTTGTCAGCAATATCAACTACAAGGCACTTCCACAGGTTTCTCTATTTTATGTAACTTACCTAATAATATACAAAATACAAAAAAAGTGTTCATACACTGTGCATCAATGCAATTTAAAATATTGTAATAAACAAAAATTGTATAACTTAACAAAACTTATTTTAATTTCCAGATGCCCAGAGGAATAGTGAAGTTCTCGGTTTTCGTGTGATTCCACCTCCTCTCTCGGATCTGTGGATAGACCAACATAAATCTGAAGCCAAAGATTGCGCTGAGATCAATGGACAAAGCTACGATGATACGTCAGCTGCCTATGCATATACAACTCTTGTTCCACCGTCTGCGAATAGGGTAAATTAAAGTTTACAATTTCTATTTGTAAATCGTATGATTTACATAACCACGTGTGTAAGCCATTGATGGAAATTTGCAGCCCATAGCTACCCCATCTGCTTAGTGCTTACCCATTTTAATTGTTTTGTTTTTTTCTTCAATTTTATTGTCAAGCAAATGGAAGAAAGTATGTGTCAGTTTGCTGATACTGTATATTTCTGTTGTTTTAATCATGTACCTTTATATGTTATTATGAAATCCTTTAACTTTTAATTTTATGAATTTCCAGAGCGTTGACTGCAATAAAGGCACATACTATGGCCCATCTTACACTTCCTTCGGTTACTACGGGAGGAAAATATATTGTGACAACTACAATTACAACTGCCTCAGCAATAAGGAATATTCTAAACTAATAGGTATGCATTGTTTATTATAAACAATTCCCATAATATTTTGTCAATAGTTTATTTTTCGATGCAGTGAAGGGTACAATATGTATATTTGATGTGAGGTCTATAATTTAATAAAAAAAGCATAATAATAAAAAAAATATATGTTTTAAGTGTTATAAGACATATCTTTATTTACTTTCCGTATAATTTAATCTCAATATCCCCATCTGCCATGAAAAATACCGAACCAATACAGCTAATTAATCAAACAATACAAGTTTGACTGAATTCGTTGTTGAGTTTTGTGTTGCTACAGATTACCCCTGTCTCCTGTTATGTGTTTTACGTTTTGTACTATTGCTTGTTGCTTGTAATGTACATGTCATCCTGTTGGTTGTAAAAATCATTGTACAGTGGAGTCCCGATAATCTGAACTTTGGTAATCAGAAAGTCCACTTAACCTGAAACCAGAAAAGGAGTTTTTTTTAGTTGTCATGGTACGACAATTAGCTGTACCTCGTCGAAGTCTGTAACATCTGATCAGCCGGGCGAGGTAGACTTGTTGTAGTAGGCCAATGGGCCAACTTTAATGTTGTGTTTTTCATCATTATGTGTATTTTAGTAAACGTTTCACTTAATCCGAAATATTCGTTAATCCCTAATCCGAAATGGGTCAGGTCCTGGCCATTATATTAAATCATATTGTAAACTGGTTTACGCCATAGTTAACTGAATTGATATGAATCATGTACATCTTCCATAATGCTATCTTTGTACTCCCCGACGAATTTTGAATGCCTGAGTTTTCTGTTGCAAATTTTACAAAAAGCATTATGAAAGCACTGCTTCCACACTTTTGACTAAATGTGTTGTATCTTTTCAGGTAATTCAAGTCCTATGGTCACTCATGTTACTGAACAAGGAGGGACTCAGATGGAAACAGAGAGGGAAGCTATGAAGAACATTCAGCCAAGCAAACCATCTCTCTTGCCTAGATTTTATCCAACTGTAAACAGCACTTTATTGACCTCAATCCCTGTAAGTTACGGTGATGATTTAATTCCTTAATGTTTTGAACCGAAATAGTAATAGCATCCATAAAAGCCTTCCGAGGTCTATGTGTTAAATTTGTCATCTTCTTTCAGGGCAGAAGCAGACAGCAGGACAAGATCTATACAGAGATTGGTATTGAGAGAAACTCAATATATTATCCCCAAACGAGAAAACTGTCTACGTTTAGCTGTCAGACCCAAATCCATTGCAACCAAAATCATAATACAAACATATATCACTCATCTACAGGTGAACCTCCAAGATTAACCTAATTTTTGATCACGCAGCTTTCAACAAAAGTAGGATGCTGTGTGACCTTCTTTTTGATTTGTACTATTTACTTTTTTGCCACTTTCTTCATGTTTTCTGAGATTATGACAAAAGCGTGAATTTTTCGACCGCGCGAACTTTGCAGATGTGTTTTACAATCGCGATCGTAAAAGCTCGGTTCGGGCTCGATTTTCCGACTTTGGGCTCGAGCTTGTAGGCCAGGCTCGGCTCGGCTCGAAAATCGAGCCGCTCGCTCACCTCTACCATTTATCTTTTTTTTTCTTGTTACTACTCCTGTGCTTTGTTACTACACACCTTTTATACACAAAGTTCCTTTTGGTAATATGTCATATATGAATAAGAAATCGTTTTTCTTTGAGTATCATATATTTTTCCTCGGTGAGACTACCTTAACCTTCTTCCTGTGCATTACTACGGTTCTTGCTTTAAAGCGAATTTTACGATGGTAATGTTAGTGTATAAAGAGCTTTTACTTGTGGTTCCTCCTGTTAATTATTTAAACCAAGAGTTCCTGTAAAATGCTAATGCATTTGTAATAAGACTGATGGTTTGTGTACTGTACATAAAAATGTTATCCCTTTAGAATTGTAAGATATTTATTTATTGTACATAACTACTTTTACACTATGAGAGTTTATTAGCTTGGACAAACAATTGTTCTCAAATATAGCATATCTTAGTGTTGTAACTAAGTTCCGATGCTATGTATTAAATTAAAAGTGTACATGTTATTCATTTATTTATTTGTGCAGGCTAATTCTTGCACTGTTCCTTGGACCCAAATAAATTAGTTACAAAACACCCTTTATGAAATTATAATTTTTAAATGTTTACTAAGGATGTAAACTTACAAACTATCCGTCACCTACGAGACTGGGACCATGACCGGTACAGTTAAAAGGTTGGATTATCCAAGTAGTATCATGTTCAGGATTTTCAGCGATTACAGAAGACAATATTCCCATGCCTGTGGGAGAAATTCAGTTTTTTATCACGATCGAGGTATTTGATGATAATGTTTCCGTTCCCACAAGAGATGTCCTAGATTTATCAGGAGGATGATGAGAACTTATCCATGATCGCTTAAGACGATGACGAGTTTTCTGTGATTGTGGAGGAAAACTAACATTTTTACTGTGATTGCTGGAGTCGATTATGATGTCTTCGACCATGGGCAATGGTCATGAGACTATTGGGATATTTACATTGTGATTGATAGGTCATGGCATGGTTCTAATGTATTTACAATTTTCTTATATGTTATATAGCCATGGCATTATTTGCGAGATGATAAAAAGGTAAACAAGATTCGCAACATATGTTAGTCAACGAATTATCTAAATAGTACATTACAAAAGCCGTACAGAGAAAAGGGAAGAACAATAGGATTAATATCATTGAGCATAATTTACTACAAAATGAATGAGCAATAATTAAGGCCGGAATAAGGCAGATCGGCAGATGCACCATTGACTTAAATCACAGGCAATAGACCATTTTGCTTAAATCCTAATAGCCATTCCATTTACGTGAACCAAAGGCATACAACTTACAACTGAGTTTGGATACTACAAGTAGATTTTCCATTTATGTGAACAAGAACTACGTACCATACAGGCTATGAATTCCATTAATGTAAAGCAAAGACACCATTGAGTTGGATATAGCAATTAGGCACTCCATTTATGTGAATCAAATGAACCATTGCTTTGGATCCTGCAAGTAGACAATTCATTTATGTGAACCAAATGTACCATTGAGTTTGGATACTGCAAATGAACATTTTATTTATGTGAATCAAATGCATCATTGACATTGAATACTGCAAATATACATTCCATTAAAGTGAACCAGAAGTAAGCCTGCCATTGGCTTTGGATAGTAGACATTTATTACATGAGCACCAAATGAAACATACTTTGGTTTCCTTAAGTAGACAATTTATTTACGTGAACAAGACTTATAATTGACTTTGAATACTGCAAAATAGCCATTCCATTTATGTGGACCAAATATACCCTTGACATTGGATACTGCAAGTATTTAATCTCATTTACGAGGAACAGGTGTACCATTGACTTTAGAAAAGTATTGGATTAGTATACTAGCTCCGCTCAATATTGCAAGCAGACAACTGCATTGTACACCTAGTAATTACAGAATTGCTCTTTGGCTCTGTAATTTGTGAGCCATTATAAATTAATCAAAGGGAAGAATATGACAGATAAGTAATAGGTAGCTTCGTCATCCTACACATTGCATAGCTAGTTTAGCAAATTTTCTTATAGGGAAGTAAGTAGCAATTACCGTTGGTGGCACAGTAAGACCTGGGCCTGAAAATGATTTTTTTTTTTCATTTTTGTTCCCAGACGCTAAAAACACTATTCATTCAAATTTTTGTATTTACATACTGTCCGATTTTGATGAAATGTGACTTGAAGGTGTAGGGCGGGACAAGTTTGAATGAGTTTGCGAACCAGCTAGAGGGTAATAGGAACGGTGTATTCTGGGGCTTAAAACTGTCCGAAATTGGGTTTTCAAAATGTTAACCCTTAGAAAATGAAAAGGCCCAATTTTCATTTCAGGTACATTTTTTAGTTTAGAAAAACAAATAATTTTGTATATTAATGTACTGTTGTTAAATTAAAGGTTACGTAAAAAACTCCAAAACACTGTAGCCTAATTTTCATGAATAAAAAGAAAACTGCTAACCTTTTTCCGCTTGTTTACTGAAAATAGTTCGCTTGTTTATTGATTTATTTTGATGAAATTTGGACATTTTTTATTTCATCCTACACTATCAACATTTCAAAAACACCTTTTTTTAACTTCCCCATCGCAGCAAATCTAAGTAGGTACCTACTCGTTAAATCTAATGTTATTTCAATGAGGATAACATGATGAGGAAATATGTCTTGTTTATGGAAATGTTTTAATAACAATCCAATCCGACTAATTGGTATTCCCTTAGTCTGCAGGTTTGTTGTGGCGGGGGTATCTCAGACACAGAGTAGGGTCAACCACAAAATAGAGGAAAACTTCCAGATTTCCTTAGTACAGCAAGCAAACATTTGTTTATTTTCAACAATCAAAAGTTAAATACATATTAGGATCAACTACGGTGATTTATATATTTTATTTACTAAACCAAGCAATAATCTTTGCTCTCAAAATAAGTAGTTTGTTCAATGTTGATATAGTTAGTCAAGAGATTGTAAGAAACTGATGTATGAATATAGGGCCGTAACCACCTGAAAAATACATATGTTTAGTAGGCTATATTAAAATACAGAGGACCCATGCACCTCCGCAGTGTTAAAATAAATATCATATCCGAGAAATAATCAAATATTTGATTGAGTAATACAGTATCTTGAGCTTAACTGATTCAAACGATCAACAACTCAAATTAAAGCCTGTAATTTACTGATTATTTTGAGTATAAACCATATAAAAAACATGAATAATACTGGAGCTATTGATTGTTAATAATAGAAATACCTTATGAATAATAATTTTATGTTGGTTGTTCACCTTGTATTTGCTTGAAACTCGTCCGATTTGAATCACTAATAGCTCAAATGAAAGCCGGGATTTCACTGAAGTGTCTTAGACCAAAATATATAGGATTAATTATAACTGGTGAAATACATCTTAAATTGAAATAAAACTTCAAAAATAAATCAAATTTTTGTTTTTGGGTAGAATAATACAGTAAATAAATATATTCCGATGCTTGATGTGAAATCTGTGTGTGCATACCTTCAATTTGAGACCTCAATCATGAAAATTGGTCGGATAGAAGAGCCAAACGAACTCAGAAAAGAAAAACCAAATTTAACTCCCATAAGAAATACATAGGGAGCAAATTTTGTTTACGTATAAACCGAGTGGGAAAGTAGATAAATATATACCGATGGTTGATGTGAAATCTGTGCGTGTATTTTTTTAAATATTAAAGATTATTAGCAGAGTATCTGCTAATTGTTTACTAAACTACAGACAAGAAGCTATGATTATTTCATACATATTACTACAAAAAAATTCTTATTTCAGATATACTCGTGCTCTGCGTTTGCAATGGGGGAGGACAAGGTTTGAGAATATTTGGTTCTTTTAATTTACGGTATTCTATAGTATATAACACATCTACCATAGCCATAATGCTCTTCCACTGCATCTAAACGATAGAAAAAAAGTACATTATCAAAACATTTGTATTATACTATCACAAATTATTTATTAAATTAAAATCATAAACATAACTGTAAACAACTGGCCTTTATTTAATGAACAGATATTTGTTCATCCAGCATTGCCTCCAGGATTAATTGATCACTATATAAAATAGGTTTATATACCTTACACTTATATTGTCAATCCTAGTATAGTCTCGGGCGACTATTCTCAAAACAACTGTTTTATTTACAAGAAGACTACAAATTAACTCACATTTCTGTATGTCTCCATACCGAGGTTGTATATGCCACCAATGGTCAGTTTGAGAGGTCTGGACGCCATGATCTGCATGATGAGAAGACCTCGCCTCAAACTATGAGGCTTGTCTGTCCAGTCACAGTTGAACAGTGCTTGCCGGAGCAACTCAGACTGCAAAAATGAAATTATAAGTTTAGCCTGCGCCATGAAACGTTTGTTAATATACGCTACATTTATTTCAAAACGTAGTATGAACACGTTTGGTTATTTTATCCTAAACACCCGCACACACTTGAATCTTCATCTTTTAAACTCGTTACACTCTTGACAGATTCAAATTGTGTTGAGGTTCTATGTAGCTTGAAAAAGAATTCATAGTAAGGGTTAGTAATGAAATATTACAAATTATTAATTTTTTTACAGAAAATTGTCAATGACTTGTATCTTTGACTATCTTTTATACAGCAAGTACATTTTATTTTCCATTGTGAAATACCCCTGTTTTGATGATGTGTATGTGGGCGGAGCAGTGATATTAGCTAGATGTTTAATGCTTATCTGAAACAATTCAGAGGAAGATAAGTAGACATGAGCTTACTCAAGCAGAACCTTTGTGAAACCTCTTTCCAAACTAAAGATTATACAATATGATGAGAATTCTAAT